CTGGCAGAGAGCTTATGGACATTTATATATAGATATAGATATATATATGTGTGTGTGTGTGTATAACATGCCTATCCTATCAGTGGATTTCTTTCATCTGTCCTAACTTATGTATATGCAAACATACATTTATATTAACATAGTATATATCATAACCTTTGTAAAGAAAACCTGCATTTTTTGAAAGTCAATTTGTCTCGCATTATGTCGTGGCCTCAATTCCCTGCCCTTTATTTTTGTAAACAGGACGTGTTTGTTGCAATCAAATGTAAATATTGACTCATTTGTAAGCCATCCTGTGTGTGTTTGTTGTGGTTAACACGAGAAGTGGTTGAGTCTTGTTAAACCCAACACACATTTTCGAGAAAGTTTCTCAGTTTGTAGTGTTGGGAATTAAAAAAGATTCTCATCAACAATAACATCACCGCAACTGGGTATAAAATTATTATAAAACGGCGTATGCAGTTGCATTGACCTCCTTTCGCATTTTGCGACTTAAATTTTTTTGTGTGAGCTGTTTTAACCGAAGGGGATGAAACGATTTTCCTAATCATTCACTTCGGGCTTTGCAACCTTATAGCTGGTCCCAAGTTTTGTTGTGTGCCTGGAGTGAAACATCTCCTTAAAGTGAGACGCCTGTGCAAAGCTTTGACAAGACGCGCTCAGTCCACACATAACACGGATACAATGGCATTTTGTGAGAATTGTTTTGTTTCGCTGTCTTTCAACATTCCAACCTTTTTCCCCCCCCCCCACCAAAAAAAAAAGAGAAATCCCCTCTCTTGTCCTACGAATCACTCCCGCGATGGGAAGAAGGCTTTTCCCTTGTCACTCCCCCCCCCCCCCCCCCCCTCTTAAAGTTTTGTCACATGAGCCCTGAACCGTTCTCATTACCACACTTCCTCATTCAAAAAGTTCAAATGCATTTCCCCTTAAATCGTGAGTGCTGATTTACCAATGCAACAACACCCTCACCTCACGCTGGGACAGCTTTTTTTGTGTGTGTGTGTGTGCACTCGACGAGAGAATGAACGTGAAACGACTCGATTTTTAACCCTTTTTTATATATATCTAAAAAAAATGATATTTATTTTTTTGTAACCCAAAAAAAAGGGAGAGAGAGAGAAAAGAACAACGGTCTCAAACGACTTAAGCAGCGGCAAAGCCAGGACGTTTGCCGATTCACATCTGGCGAGCAATAGAAGCGACGGGTGTGAGCTCTGGTTGTGAGAGTACAGACAGTGCTCAGAGTCTGGCTCCGGCTCCTGTTGTTGCGCCTGTAATTGTATTGGTCCCGGTTTAGAGTGGGAAGCGGGTCGCTCCCGTCTGCAGCTCTCTATTAGATTATATCGGATGGGTGGGTGGGTGGGGGGGGTCGGTCTTCCCCTCTCCTCCCCAGACGCGTGGTGGATGGCTGCTGGAGCAGTTGGTCTATAGTTGCAGTAATTGAATTAGCCATTTGGTACAACTTTCCAGCCGGAGTAGGGTCGCCAGAAGCTCGCGTGGGGAGCTCAAGCTGAACAAAACACCAGCGGCCGCTGATTGTCAGCCGCACTCATTTATCTCACAACCCAATAAAACGCCGCCACAAAAGATTTTTTCTCTCTCTCTCTTTTCTCCCTTTGCTGCAAAAACCAACTCACGAATGCAAGAAAGCGACAACGCCTCCGATTGCGCAACAGAGCGATTCCAGATAGCGTTTGCTTTTCTGCTCTCTCTCTCTCTCTATCTCTCTATCTATCTCTCTCTCTCTCTCTCTCTGCCTGTTGTCTGATGTGTGTCAGGTTCTGAAACGGGGAGGGAGGGAGAGAGGGAGGGAGGGAGGGAGGGAGGGAGGGAGGGAAGGATGTGGACTTCTCGACGGATCAAATGTACAGCCGCACGATAGGATGTTCCTTGTCTCATCGACTTCGTGTGCTGAGCCGTTACGCACCAATTAAAGTCGATGATCGCGGCTCAGAATTAGCAGTTGTTCAACTTTGCTTTTATCAAATAAATCATGTTGTTGTTTTTTTGTTGTTGTTGTTTGGTGTTGGTTATTTTGCAGTCAGGAACCGTGCAATTCGGAAGCGACCGAATTGATGCTACTGGTAGATCTGAGTGAGAGGAGAGCGCCCAGAGGTGCAGGTGGCTGTGCAGAAACGGTGTTGAACACACAGTGTGTGATAAAGCAAAGCCAAATCGCCCTCTGGTTTCCCATTGCCTGGCTGAAGGCTGATAACGGTTTTACCTTTTAACTTTGAACCGGGGACAGACACCAATGCAGAGGTGTTGCACGGGAGAGATGACAAGCGTCAAATAATCACTATCTTTTGTTTCTCAAACGAGAACGAAAGCCCAAACTGACCAGGACCTAACTGTACCGGACCAGTCCATTCAACACGCGCGCCCACGATTGCCAGAGGCTCCTTTAATAAATCCGCGAGCATCCAGTGCTGAGTAACATTTCGTAAGGCTGAGTGAAATATTGCTGTTTGTGGCAGTATCGCTGTCAGCTTCTTTGCCTAAATGTTTAAATTACAGCGAACAGCGAGCGAGAAAAAAAGGGAGAAAAGTAAAAGCTGATTGTGTGATCGGTTTATGACATTAAGATTGCAGCGACTGAAGAAGAGCTGGAGTAAAGGGATTTGTCTTCTTGAACAAAATCGTTTCCACATTTGTTGTAGATGTTTATTATTGCTCTGTCGAAAAGGTGGGGTGGTGGTGGGGTGGGGGGGGGGGGAGAGAACTGCATTCATATTCATGAGAGCGCAAATAAATAAAGATAAATTCTTGCAATAATGCTCGGATTCACATTCGTCTCTGCAGCTCTTTAAGTTGGAGACTGAACAGAGATGGAAGACTGATGCCCCCCTCGCCTCTGTAGTCTGGCTGGAGACGGATGATGAGAAAGCAATTTAGTGCAATGTGCAATTTGTTTCCCAGCGTCACTGTAACTTTGTTTTCATTTCCCCAGTAAACAAAAAAAACACAATGTGTACAAAGCACAAAAGAAAGTCCTTCTTTATCAAACCCACAACTCAACACAGATTACATCGCCCATCATCAATAAAACTACAGCCCTCGACAACCTCTCTCTTTCACGATTCCTAGTCTTGCTGTTAAACTGTTCGAAAATGAGGCGCAACATCATAAATCAGATCGGAAGCTGCTCGGGCGTTATTCGTTGTATGTTTGTTTGCTTGTTGTGCAAACGATATTAATAAACGGATTGTAAAACCGTTGGCTTGTTATTTTTTTTCGCTTGAATCCTGCTTCTTTTTTTTTGTAGTCTTCTGTTGATTAAGGCGAACCATCTTAGGGTTAGGCGCTGCATCTTACAATCATAGCGTTTGTTGTCAGTCCATCTGTGGCGATGGTTTATTCGCACCAAATGTTAGTTTGTTTTGCAGCTGATTATCACGTTTAAAGACCGACTGAGAAGCGATGCATCGCAGATATCAAACGAGGCCGAGTTTATATTCCGCTCCGCATTGAGAATAACACGGTTCCATTTCGCTTGGTATTTAACGCGGGGAAGGCTTTTGTGGATGCAATTACACTAATTTTATAATGATTTAAAATCGCATCAACTGTTGCCTCGCATTAGCGCATTTCCCACCCCCCACCCCCCAAAAAAAACCACAAGAGACGCACACTGCAGAGGAGAGGTGAGAGCTGAGACGCGCAAGTCTGGAAGCACAAATAGGGTTAAATAAAGTAAAACTGAATTTCGTAATTTTTTTTAAAAAAGTGCGCTTTCCAGGGGAATCGCCGCTGTTTTAATTCGCTGGTGTTCCTGTTCACTGATTGCCCGTCATTTCAAAAATAAAACATGTTTCTCTCATTTTGTATTGTGATTGTGTGTTTTTTTCTAAAAAATGACATTCACAATAGTTAATAATAAGCTTTCGTCCAAAATAGACGGGATCCGAGTATTTGTGAAATGCATTATTTCAACCCAGTCGTTATTTGTGTCGGTCGTGTTTATTGAAGTGAAAATATTTCCGCAAACAACATCCCCTTCGGGATCCCGCAAAGCCTCACAGTGAGCAACATAAATAGGGCATCACTGTTTTGCATGTATTATTTACGAGATCGCAACATCTTTTTTTGGGGGGGTGGGGGGGTGGGGGGATAAAAAAAAATCATTACGGTTCCGAAGTGAAATCTTTTTATCCGACAATGTGCAATCCTCACGATTGCAAAACGCGTGCAATGGCTTTCCTGCGCAATTCTCAGACAGGTGTGTGTTCAGGGGGAGAGAGAGAGAGAGAGAGAGAGAGAGATAAAAAAAAAATCCTTGTTTTTCTTTCTATACTAACTCACGCTCTCTATTTTGCATCGAGAGCCCGCGTCCAGCGAATGTCCACCCGCGATAACATTTCACGCACAGCGGGGGGGAGACTTGTTGTGAAATTGAGCGTGTAACATTATTTAAAAAAAATAGGCGGACCGTGACACCGAGGGCTTCCTTCCCCAAAACACCAAATATCTCAATTTGTGCCTGGGCTCTGATCGCTTAAAAAAGCTTTAAAAGCGCAGAGAAATTGGATCAGGGAAAATCGTCACCCAACTTTCATTATTTAAAAGTAGTCTGATTGAATTAAGGGCAGGGGATATGGTTAGAGGGATGATGGAGGGGACTGTGTGCGTAATGGTGTGGTATTAAATTCTAATTAGAGATGCAGGAATCAATGATAGGGAGGTTGGGCCGCTCAGTCCCCCTGTGCCAGCCCAATAGACTGATGAGTTATTGTCATGTAAAAACGAAGGCAATAAGACCACCGCTTTGCTATTGTCCAAGTGGAAACAGCCAAGTTTATTATGAGGACTATATGCTCTAGAGACCTGAGGCAAGGCAGCTCATAGGAGGCATTTTGATAAAACTAAGCTCTCCTCTTAGAAACAAGCCCAGTTGTAAAGCAGGCTCTGTGCTGTGCACATCTACCCACAAAGGCACCTTCTCCCTTTCTCTTTCTCTCTTTCCTTTTGGCTTTTAGATACCCAGAGCTTTTTCAATGTATAAAATGGAATATTCTTACCTCAATTCTTCTGCCTACGAGTCGTGTATGGCTGGTATGGACACATCAAGCCTGGCTTCAGCCTATGCTGACTTCAGTTCTTGCAGCCAGGCGAGTGGATTCCAATATAATCCTATAAGGACCACATTCGGGGCCACCTCGGGATGTCCATCTCTAACTCCAGGATCCTGCAGCCTTGGAACTCTTAGGGACCATCAGAGCAGTCCATACGCAGCAGGTAAGGACCTCCAGCAATCCTTTCCAAAGAGTACCCCCTTCTCCCCGCAACAAACATGTATATAGGAAGGTTGATTGCATTTGAAAATTGAAATGTGTTTAGTATTTACCAAACGAAATTTGCTTACACAAATGAAAGAATTTATCACGTTAGAAGCGATTGCAGGCAATGGGTAATTCAGTTATAGGGTTACACTATACTAGTCACACCCGAACCGCCAACAAAATTATCTTAAGCTGCCAAAATGATAGGCATAATTTATTTACTTTGCGATGATACGTAAAGCTTAGAAAATCTGTCCTGGTGTAATTAAATAACCAAAGACTAAAGCTCATTACCAGAGTGTCTTTAAAACACAGTGTCTTGGACTTAATGCTGTGATCATTTTAAAGCTTTCTATGAACTTTTAGAAGGACTCCAAAGTTTGAAAGCCAATTTAGGAACAATTTGGCACAAAAATACATTGCCTTTTAGTAAATATAAAAATAAAATGCATCAATCGATTCAAATGCAACTAATTTTATTTATCTCGTGCTACGCATTTTCCTGCATTTTGGGGGTAAGCATTTCTAGATAAGAATATGATGCTAATATTTGATATTGCTTTTTAACAGGTTGATAACTTTTTAATCATTTATTCTTAATTTATTCATTATCCTAATTATAAAGCGAATTAATCTCACTGCAAGGTGTGCAATCTTACTGCAAATGTTTTCTCTGTAGCTGATGTGAATTCAACAACGTTAAGCACTGCGGTGGGGTATTGCTTTGTGAGCACCTGTTTTAAAAAGTACATTTCTCGATTTCCTTTCCACACGCAGGTGTCTTCTCGTTGCTCTGCATCAGCGTTGTAAAATGCGTTTTGTTATTTTTTTTTTAAGTTTAAGGGCTTCTCTTAATTCCCCTTCGCTCTCTGGTTTCAGTACCCTACAAACTGTTCACCGATCACGGCGGGTTGAATGAGAAGAGGAAGCAGAGGCGGATACGAACCACATTCACCAGCGCTCAGCTGAAGGAGCTGGAACGAGTGTTTGCAGAAACCCATTACCCTGACATCTACACACGGGAAGAACTAGCGCTAAAGATAGACCTCACGGAGGCCAGAGTGCAGGTACGGCCAAAATATGTCTTTAGGATATCCATTACCTTTAGCATTTCCTTCCAACTGAGCACACACCTGCAATGCGGATATAAGTTGATGCTGGACGCGGGTTAGGTGGGACCAGGAGTGCAGGTACATCACACCAACTACTGCACAGTCAATAAGGCGCTTTAGATTTTTTTCACACACAGCCACTGACTCGAGATATAGGCCTTGTTGCAATCGGAACATCTTGTATGTCTATCTATCTCTATTCTGGCATCTGCATTTACATTTAATAGTCTTCTCTCCCTTTATATACACTCCTGTAGCGCTGTACAGAGGAGGAAGCGCAACACAGACCCAATCTCGTTGTGGCAAAATTTTGAGATTGATTTTGAGATTGAAAGCAACATCTACATATTACACAGCCGCACAATATTGATGCAAATTTTCTTTTTAAAAAAAAACAACACACACATATGTCGTGATATACAAATGGACAGAAATATACGTCCACGTACAAAAATCGTTATTGCTATAAAAATCGATGAAGACAAAGATCCATTGAGGCCAACATTTTCTGACAGCACATACAGCGCTTGGGTTATTTACACCAGCAGCTCCCCCTCCCTCTCCCTCCCTCTCTCTCCCTCTCCCTCTCTCTCCCTCTCTCTCTCTCCCTCTCTCTCTCTCTCCCTCTCTCTCTCTCTCTCTCCCCGCACAGCAGACATAGCGCGGAGTACAGGTTCCGCAGCTGTAAATGGTTCAGGAAGAAAGACATGTGAACAAAAGCAACATTTACGCTGCAAAAGCCACGTATTTTATTTTCCCCTTTTTTTTCATATCTTCCAACTTCTCAGACGTGTGTCCTGTGTTGTGCTGTGTTGTGTTGTACTGTGCTGTGTTGTCCTGTGTTTTCCTGTCCTTGTGCTGTGTTGTCCTGTGCTGTGTTGTCCTGTCCTGTGCTGTGTTGACCTGTCCTGTGTTGACCTGTCCTGTGTTGACCTGTCCTGTGTTGTGTTGTCCTGTGTTGTGTTGTCCTGTGTTGTGTTGTCCTGTGTTGTGTTGTCCTGTGTTGTGCTGTCCTGTCCTGTGCTGTGCTGTCCTGTGCTGTGCTGTCCTGTGTTGACCTGTCCTGTGTTGACCTGTCCTGTGTTGTGCTGTCCTGTGTTGTCCTGTCCTGTGTTGTCCTGTCCTGTCCTGTGTTGTGCTGTCCTGTGTTGTCCTGTCCTGTCCTGTGCTGTCCTGTCCTGTGCTGTGCTGTGCTGTGAGCGGGCGGGTCAGTTTGAGAGCCAGGGCTGTGATTCCCGGGCAGCTCAGCCCCTCTCTCTCCCCTTTTCCTGCCTCCTTAACCCTTTCTGATCTTGTTCTGCTTCGCCCGAAGTCAGCCACCACCCCCCCCCCCCCGCAGCATATTCCGTGAAGCGCTCTGAGACGTCCCGACGACGCGATAAGGCGCTCTATCAAATGCAAAGATTTTTATATATTATGATTACTAACAAACCTGATCCACCAACACACGCACAGCGGTGCACCCCCCCCCCACCCCAATCCCCCCTCTCCCTCTCTCCCTCTCTCCCCCTCTCCCTCTCTCCCTCTCTCCCCCTCTCCCTCTCTCCCCCTCTCCCCCTCTCCCTCTCTCCCTCTCTCCTTTCCTTCCCCTCGTCTTACCGCTTTAACCCTTTCCCGTCTGGCCTTTTTTTCCCCCCCCCGACGGAAAAACCCACTGTCCGCCCCCAATGCACTTAAACTCTCCGCGCACCGCATCCGCGAGACGCGGGGGACCGCGAACCCGCAATAACTAAACAATAACAATAACAATAAATCATAATAAGAATAAGAAGAAGAATAATGCATAAACAAATAAATAGCAACGGGACGACGACCAGAAACAACGGCAGCGGCAGTGATGTTGTGCCTGTCTCACCCCCTCACCCCCACCCCCTCACCCCACCCACCCCCTCACCCCCACCCACCACCCCCTCACCCCACCCCCTCACCCTCACCCCCTCACCCCCCACCCACCACCCCCTCACCCTCACCCACCCCCTCACCCCCACCCACCACCTCACCCTCACCCACCCCCTCACCCCCAACCACCCCCTCACCCCCTCACCCTCACCCCCTCCCCCTCACCCCCACCCCCTCACCCCCACCCACCCACTCACCCCCACCCCCCACCCCCGTCACCCCCTCACCCTCACCTCACCCCCTCACCCCCCCTCACCCCCACCCACCCCCTCACCGTCACCCCCTCACCCTCACCTCACCCCCTCACCCCCCCCCCGCCCGCAGGTTTGGTTCCAGAACCGCCGCGCCAAGTTCCGCAAACAGGAGCGGGCGGCGGCGGCGGCTGCGGCGGCGGCCAAGAACAGCGGCTCGTCCAAGAAATCCGACTCGCGGACCGAGGACGAGGGCAAAGACGCCAAACCGGCCGACCCCGACAGCACGGGCCCCGGCGGCTGCCTGTCCTCCCAGGGCAACCTGCTGGGGGTGCCGGGCGGGGGGCCGGTGGGGGAGTCCGGCAAAGCGGCCGCGGCGGCGGCGGCGGCGGCTGCGGCGGCGGCGGCGGCGGCTGCGGCGGCGGGAGCGGCGAGCACCGGCTGGGCGACCGCCCCGGGCGGCGTGAGCGCGGTGCCCGACTCGTTAGGCGGTCCCTTCGCCAGTGTCCTGTCCTCCCTCCAGAGACCCGGAGCCACCAAAGCCACTTTAGTAAAAAGCACCATGTTCTGATCTGTGTGTCCCCCCCACCACCCCCCACCCCACACCCACACCCACACCCACACCCACACCGACCCCCACACCGACCCCCACCCCCACACCGACACCCACACCGACCCCCACACACACCCACCACACCCCCACCATCCCCCCACACCGACCCCACCCACCCACCGACCACACCCCCCCCCCACACCGACCCCCACACCGACCCCACCACCCCCACCCCACACCCACACCGACCCCCACCACACCCCCACACCCACCCACCACACCCCCCCCCCCACACCCACACCGACCCCCACCACACCCCCACCCCACACCCACACCGACCCCCACCCCACACCCCCCCACACCGACCCCCACCCACACCGACCCCACAACGCCCCCACCCAACCACCACCCACACCGCCCACACCGGGGAAAGCCTCAGCCCCCCCGCACACACCCCCGCACACCCACCCGCACACACCGCACCCACACAGCCCCACCCATACAACCCTCACCCTCACAGCCCTCACCCACACAGCCCTCACCCTCACAGCCCTCACCCTCACAGCCCTCACCCTAACCCATACCCTCACAGCCCTCACACCCCTCACAGCCCTCACAGCCCTCACCCACACAGCCCTCACCCTCACAGCCCTCACCCTCACAGCCCTCACCCACACAGCCCTCACCCACACAGCCCTCACCCTCACAGCCCTCACAGCCCTCACCCACACAGCCCTCACCCTCACAGCCCTCACCCACACAGCCCTCACCCACACAGCCCACACCCACACCCTCACAGCCCTCATCCACACCCTCACAGCCCACACCCTCACAGCCCACACCCTCATAGCCCACACCCACACCCTCACAGCCCACACCCACACCCTCACAGCCCTCACCCACACAGCCCTCACCCACACAGCCCACACCCACACCCTCACAGCCCACACCCTCACAGCCCACACCCTCATAGCCCACACCCACACCCTCACGGCCCACACCCACACCCTCACGGCCCACACCCACACCCTCACGGCGCATACCCACACCACAACCCACACCCTCACAGCCCTCACCCACACCCAAACTCTCATAGCCCTCACCCTCACAGCCCTCACCCACACCCTAAGCCACACACTCATTGCCCTCACCCACACAGCCCACACCCACACATCCCGCACCCTCACCCATACCCTCAGACCCACAGCCCTCACCCACACAGCCCTTACCCTCACCCACACCCACCCCTCCCTAAAAATGGTTGCAAACGTATAATTTAAAAAAATCCAAAAACATTACAAAAAAGCAAACAAAAAAAAACTTTTAGTGTGTCTTTCTACAACCGTGTTCTGTGCTTAAAATGTAAAGTGTTATTCTGAGTATAAATTTGTCCTCTATAGTTGACCCTTAAAACGTCCCCTTACCTGTCCCCTTGTAGTCGATATGGCGTGTCTTTATGGAGAGAGAGAGTGAGAAAGAAACACACACAACAGATCATTACCAAGTTCAGTTTTTTTTTGTTTAGGTAAAACTGGTTCATATATAACGGTATATATTTTTGTTAAATGCATGTTGTCTGATTTTTTTTTTCCTGTCCCGTTGGAAATTATTGTGAGCATAATCTCCATACGTTTATGTTCAGGAGTTCAGAAATTATTTATATGTGGTATAATGGATGCTTATATTTAAATAAGGCAAAAATATTTCTACATGTGCATATAGTTTTCCAAAAGTGTACCATTAACTTGATTGTTGATAATAAAATGCGAAGCAAAGGTTGGAAGATGGTTTCTGCTTTTATTTTGTTTCCTTTTTGTTGAATAAAATTAATGTTGTGATAGTTATATCTCTGAGTTTTAGCAAAAGGCAAGTGATGCTAATTCCACAGGGTAGACTATTGGAGAACGTCGATGTGATTTTTTATTTAAAAGCTTATTGTTTTGCCACTGACAGTAAATATTATTATAATAATAATAATACGTTAATAGCTGTTTCGCCGTTGTGTGCACAGGCCGAAACACATTTTTAAATGAATCGTCGGAAATATAGTATTTATAAACATATTGTGATTGTACTAGATTTCTCTCTTTTTTTAAAAAAAAAGTCATGTTTGATGGAAAATATGAGAGACGACGAAAGAAAAACTGTGAAATAAAAAAAAGGGGCAAAACAGATCTGGTCATTAATGTTACACTTTCCCGTTGTCTTGTCTGCGTGTTTGAAATTTAGGCACCAAAGCCACTGTAATAAAATAGACTTCATCCAATGTGAATGCGTCTCAGTACGGTATCCACACCAGCCTTGTGACTTACCTTTCTATCAAGTGCCAACATCTCTGGATAGCATTACCTCAGAGTACTTTTATTCTCGTTTCCAGTTCCACAATAACGTTTCCACAGTGGATTTTTGATGGGATGGGATCTCGCAATCAGATCTTACAGCCAATATGTTTTTTTTACACACACAATTCCTTTAACATTTAACGAATAATTTTAAACGACTGAGATTTTACCCCCTTTTTTTGGCAATGTGCACGAATATACAGTCAAATCGCAATACAGCATATTCTGCGAAGTGCTTTAAAACGTCCAAAAGACGCGATAAGGCGCTCTATCAAATGCAAAGATTATTATTTTCTTCCACACCATTACGACTAATCTGAGACTCTTCCTGGACTAGTAGTACAGACGGGTAAGTAGCAGAAACACTCGCCACAATTTACTCATGTTAGGACTTTGGAAGTAGAGCGATCAGCAAGTGCACCGAGAACCGTAATCGTTGGTTTCTCGGGATTTTTCGGGTCTTATCTGTACTTATTTATGCTGCAAAACAAAACTCCACAATGAATATTTTCCAGAATGCCTCTGTCATCTAATCATTTCACATTCCACAAATAATAAGCTTTCCATTTAGTGCCATTTACATGGGTGTAAATTGAATGTCCATTTGCCAATTAACCCTCAGCGCATAATTGCAACAGGTTTGGGTGGTTTATCAGTTGAATCTTTTCAAGGACAAGTCTCGGGAAGACACAGCAGATTTCCTTTGTCAAACATTTGATCAATGCACAGTGCAACATCTTCTGCTGCGCCGGTTGGGTACATTGCTCAGAAACAACACAATAAAAGGGGGAGATGGTTTATAATTCAGGCTGAGCTGCTGGAGGTGGTTATGCAGCAATATGGGGCTCCCTGGCCCATGTCTCAACTACATTTGGTCCGTGTGCAATGTTAGCAGCGCCTGAACAGGTGGTTTGACAGAGTGTGGTCGGATGCCAGAAGCCTTCAGCAGGCAGCAGGCAGCAGGCAACAGGCACCGGCACCGCACTGCCAGTCAGAATGCGGTGCGTCAATTTATACTTCAACAGTTTGCATTTAATCAAGTTACAACCGGTGCAGATTCTCGCAATAAATGGCAGGGAGGCAAGGCTTTATTTCCAGAATCCTGGGAGGAAAACCGGAGTGTGGGGAAGGGGTGGGTGGGGGGAATACGTGCTTCAGGGGGGCAACAGAATAAAAGAAGAAACTTGGGGTCACAGGCGCACAGCGTGCAAGTCACCTTTGCAGTCACTGCACTTGCAAGACTGGGAATTGTGGAATTCGCAACCTGCATTTAAGAGCGACTTCTTTCCCCAGTGTCTGTGCACCAGGAGGAGGTGAAACCGTCCTGGAGAGATGTGCATTTCATTCAGGGGCTCCCGAGAAACAGATTGAACCCGGCATTCTGGCAAGAAATAGCTCCAACATGATCCGGACTTCATTGACTCTCCGACCCGTGGTTACTTATCCAAATGACGAATTTCTGCTGCATAAATTCTTATTGACATTCCTCTTATTCGAAAGAAAATGAATTGCATGTAGCGCCTGATCTCGGATTCTGGCTGTAACCACTCTGGCTGCTGCAGATCAAACAAACGCAAACCACAATACCTTTGCTCGAAATTATTGCTGCCTTTTTGCACCTGTCTTGAGATCCTCCTCTTCATTTTTTTTTAAAAAAGAAAGAAATATTTGTCACACCTTAAAACGAATTGTGCTCCTCCATTTGAAATCCGATGGGAAATCTCCCACATTCAGTGGCCAGTGACCAGCCTGATGCAATAAGCAGTTAATCCATAAAATAACACCGACCTATGAGTACCACAATATGAAAGGCACCAACATAAACAATCCCTTTATGTCAGTGACAAATACAAACAAATTGTCATCTTCGGAAAGGTACCATTCCTCATACAATGATTTTGCGATTTTTTTCCCCCCCACTATCGGTATGTGAAATAGGCTTTTTGTCCCAATATCCTTTGGAGGCAGTGAAGTAAAATTATCCATAACTCTGCAGGTCCAAATAATCAAGTCCAATTCTCTATGCAAGTGCAAATAGAGAACTCCACTGAAAAAAAATGCTGCCCATTTCATGATGTTCCAACAACAACATTCACCAACAGAGTGTAGATGCCAATCTCTGATGCCTCAACAGATTCCCACCAGACAGACAGTGCCAGTCTCTGACCCCCACATGGATTCCAATCAGAGAATATCTTTTTTGGGGTTAGCCGGGTGTCTGACACATGAGGAAACCCATTACCATGTTTAAGGGTATCCAGGCCAAGCCAAGATTTCCATGCATCCCAACTACACATGGAAATCCCAGAGATAGATGGTTGGAATGGAATGTGCACTCTCTCCCTGGAGGGACACATCCTACTTATTCTGGAAAGTATTAGTGCAGGTTGGCAAGAGCCAAGGCTTGGGAACCCCAGAGTGTACGTTAGGGTAACTGCTGGAGTCTACAACAACAACAAAATTACAGTTGTCTAACCAGCAAAACCCCATAGCTTGCCATCGATATTGCTGTCTGTCAAGCTTTCCCACGGTTTGTTCAGCTAGGACCATCCAACCCATTAAGCCTTTGATTTGTAGGGTTAACAGGAGATGAGCAGGATGATTCCCTCAGTGACTGGTCTGCCCTTCCAGGTCTGGCCAATGAGCCAGGCCGGCTGTGCTGCCATCAGCCTTGCC